TGCATACAAATAAGATGATATTTAAGCAGCGCACATGTGTATCTCCAGTGGTATTTTTTTCATAGTGGGCCCTTATCCCTTAAGGGAGCAGTGTGTTGATCCACTTTGTGGACCATACACTTGCCTTGTGTGGGCTGGTAATGCTTTGCAGCCTCGCTGCTTGAAATTGCACTGGTGTGGAGTAGAGCCTGGCCAGGCGGGAGTCTGGGAGTTGTGCAGGATGGGCCCAGGTCTTGTAGGTGTGATAAAGACAGTGTCTCAGTAACTCAGTAACTGGCGACAGTTCTTCCAGTTGCTCAGTACAAAACTTTGATGTCCTTGACCCCTCTGTTTGCCCACATATAGAGAGCCCTTCCCACTCCTTGTCTTGTTCCAGGAAGTTTTTGTGTGTGTGTGTTTATAACACTTACTGAGGGAATCAAACTCATGACCTCATGCTTGCCAGGCAGGTGCTGTGCCACTGAGCTGTATCCCCAGCCTGGAAGTTTGTCTTTGTAATCCCATGGAAAAGTTGTTGGAAGTCTAGTGAGTTAATTCTGATGTACCACTTCTAGTGCAACCCATGGTGAGAATAAAGACACTAAGGCATATTTGTAGTTATGGAGCGCCAAGGGGTCCTAAGTCCAGCCATGATGATGGCCATCTGGAACAAAGGCCTCGACCTAGGGCCGAATGTGGGTTTTATTAATTCGTGAAGAAAGGAGTGGCTTGAGGGTGAGTGACTGTGAGAATGGCAGGAGGTATATGAGTGCTCTGAGCTGGGATAGGTAGGAGGCCTGAAATCACCTCTGGAATATGTAGAGAGAAGGATCTGCATAACCCAACTGAGATAGTATCTAATGTTTTGGGGTTGGCGCTTCAGCTCCGATGTGTAATCTTTTATGCCCTGGGAAGTCATGGCCTCTTATCTTGTGGCTGTATCCCGGCCATCTGACAGCATGGGCACGGCTCTCCATCCCGCCTTGCCTCAGCTCACATGGGGGCTATGGAGGGTGAGGAAACACTACCCTGCTGTCTTCAAAGACTACCGTCAGCACCTCAGCTGGACCCATATGCATTACTTAAAGCCAATTGAAGGGATAAAGAAAAGTCCTAGCCAGTCCTGTACTTGTCAATACAGGGAAGTAGGGTCAGGCTCAGCCAGAGTGGAGACAATTGCTCCTCCTTCAAGGAGAGTCTCCTACGTGGTCCTCCACACTTGTACTTTATACCCAGTCAGTGGGCAGACTCTGCCTGCTGTACCTTCAAACCTATGCCAAGTCTAAGGTCTTTCAGCATCTCTATCCAGACCTCCCTCAGTTCAGCTATTATCTCTGGCCTAAATGATCTGCATAGCCTCCCAGCTGGTCTCCCTCTTCTGCCCGTGCCTTCCTGTGATCCCTTCTCAACTTAGCAATCAAAGTGATCGTTTGAAGGGTGCCTGGCAGTGTCGTTTCTGTACTCAGCACTGCTCCCCCAGGAAAAGCATCCTGTCACCCTCCCAGGAGAGGCTAGCAGCCTTATAGTGGTCCACAGGGCTCTCCTCTCTTTGCTGTTCCACTTCTTTGACCTTGTATCCTACCTGTGAGCCTTGCGTGCATCCTCTCCCAGCTGCGCTGGCTGCCCTACTGCGTATCGAACATGATCCTTCCCCAGAGCATTTTTCCTGTAGTGTTAAGGAAGGCTCTTCCCCACAGAACTGCACCGCCCACTCCCTAAGGTCTCTGCCCAAGCCTTACCTTATCAGAAGAGTTTCCCCTAACTGCACTGTGTAAATGACTCCTTCCTCACTGCCTTGTAGTCTTTCGTGCTGTAAGCGAGATGGGCTGAGTTGTGTGGCAGTAGCAAACCACCCCAGGGTATCGGATCCTGAGCCTAAGGAACAAGGTTTGCCTGTCACCAGAGCCACATCTCAGTTGTGAAGCACTGGGGGTGGAAGAGTCTTCCTACACTGTCTTTAGTCCTGACATCTGGCTGGTGGGGTGGCCACTGTCGGAGCACTGGCTCTAAAGTGCCTGCCTGGAAGCCACCTATCTGAGGTTTACTTGGCCGGTGCAAGGCTTACTGCCGTATCTAACTTCAGTTGGGATTGGTGGGTGGGTAGCTATCTACTGGAAACGTGGTAGATAACAGCTGTAGGTTTACCCTCCTTCATTCTCTATAGTGTTTGTTTGCACCTGGCATAATATGTATCTACCTTGTTTTGTTTCTTTTCTCTCCTGCCTTGACTGTAAACACCACGAGGTTAGGGACTCTGTCCTTCACTTACCGACGCACCTGGGGCCTAGCACAGTGCATACTGTATCAGGTGCGTGTTGGTGTTTGCACTGATTGAGACTACACAGCAAGTCATTTATTCATCTGGTGACATGAACCAGGTTAGAAGCGTAGAGGAGGAGTTTCAAGGACATAGGAGCAGTTGGCGTGAGACAAGCTGGCAGCAGACTTCCTTCCTGTAGAGACGCAGCGGAGTGTCCCTGTGCGACTCTAGACCGTGTCGTGAAACCTTGAGCGCAGCTCTCTGATTTTCTCCGCTCACACTGAGTTGCTTAGAAGTGGCAGGGAAGAGGCAGGAGCGACGGGGCTGGTTCACAGGGACAAGTGGAAATCCAGAGTGAAGAAGGGGACAGGTCCCAGCTGTCCCTCCATGTCCTCCTTCAGGCCTGTCACAGTGGCAAAGGAGCTTGCCTGGTAGGGGGAGCCCACCCCGGGGGGGCTGCAATAGTGCAGCTCATAGGAGCTGATTGCCCCTCATTCATTCTTTCTTTCCTTCTTGTGGCACTCAAAAGTAGGCTCCTGTCCCCACTTTACAGGTGGGGACACTGAGGCTGTCATTGCTCACGATAGAATTTAGGTTGGTCACACACAGCCATGGCACCTGCTATATTTCTGAGGCACCAGGCAGTGGGAAGCTCTGTTAGGTTTTTAGGTTCCTTGGGGGCTTGACGAAGAGTGTACCCATTGCATAGTGGTTCCAGTTTAGATGTTTGCAGGACCTTACCAGAGAGGAAATAGTGGGCTATTTTTATACGCTCAAACAAGCCCAGTAACCACAGTATCAACTGCAGCTGGTAAATCCACCCCCAGGGAATTTCTTATGAATAAGATTAAACTGTGCCTGACAGAATCTGAAAGCACCCCCATCTCTGATGCTTCTCTGTGGTCTTGCCTGTTGGTGCGAGGCTTCGTGGCAGATGTTGAGAAAGGGAAGCACGGGCCTCCCTTCAGGAGTCTGTAGGGCACTGTAGTTGGGAAGGCGGAGCTGTATGGAACAGTGATGGTGGAAGTAGTGTGGAAGCCAGGGAGGGAGTGAAGAGGGGAAGAGCCCTGTCGCCCAGATGGTTCACTCAGGCCGGCGGAGGGAGGTGGAAACGCAGCTGTTACTTGAGGCTGCATAGGATTGAGAACGGAGTATCAGTGCTGGACAGGGACGGATGGTACTTGGGATTTTCCCAGAATCACTGAAACAGAAGCCACTGTGGTCAGGAGGCAGCGAGGGGAACAGTTCGGTTGCAGGAAAGAATCCTTAGGATGGGAGAGGTGGAATGAGGTCTGGGGAACGGGCAGGAGGGTGCAGTCCTGTGCCCAGGGGTCATAGGAAAGCAGCAGGGCTGGCGTCATGGTGAAAGAAAGAAGATCCACGCCCAGGCACGCTGTCCTCGCTTTGCAAGTGATGTGGTGCCACCAACGTGGCCACAAGCTGAAACCAGGAGTGTCATTTTAATCGTCAGGGAAAAATTGAGATCAGTCATAACCTTTAAATGTTTTTGTTGAAAATGTCTTTTTAACTTTAAAAATCTCATATGTCATTGTAAATATAGAGGGAAATGAAAAAATAGTAAAACTTTTTTTTTTTTTACCTGGAATCGAACTCAGGACTTTGCGCTTGCCAGTCAGGTGCTTGCGTTACTGAACTATATTTCCAGCCCAGTAAGACTTTTTAAAACTGCACTAATTTATTAAAAATATTGGAGACAGGGGGCTGGGGATTTAGCTCAGCGGCACAGCGCTTGCCTGGCTAAGTGTGAGGTCGTTAGTTCAATTCCCGGTACCGGAAAAAAAAACAAAAACAAACAAACAAACAAAAATATTGGACACAGTAAGAGTCAAAGCGTTTTATTTCTTTGTAAAAAAGTACTTGGAACTGTGTTTGCTTTCTTGAGTAACCCTAACCTGGAGTAATCCTTTTTATGTGTTGTGATTGCCATCTACCTTTCTGAGTTTGGCTCTTTCCAGAATTTCATTCTTTTTGTTTTCAGGGTCATGACGTAGCTGTGAGAGTTCTTGGTGTGAAGATTTCTGCCAGCAGCCCTTCTTCCGGGGTTTCTCAGCCCGTTTCGTCACAATTGCTGCATTGGTTTTCTATCGCGGCTGTAACAAATCATCACAAATTTGAGGGCTAGGGATTTAGCTCAGTGGCATAGCGCCTGCCTGGCAAGCACAAGGTCGTGAGTTCGATTCCCGGTACCGGAAAAAAACAAACAAACAAAGAAAGGAATCAACAGATTTGATGGCTGCTTTTAGAACGTGGCAGAGGTCACACAGGCTCCCGTGGAAAAGGGGCTTGGATTGCTCTTGCATTCAGGATGGAGAATCTCAGGAGGCCACTGCAGTCAGCAGAGTTAACACATTCTCTTCTTAAAGAAATTTTTTTAAAAAAACAAATGTATTTCTCTCCTGCATGCTGTGGGGCAAACTGGTTGTCAGTAGAAAACGCACAGCACTTCTTTACACTTGAGAAACCGCTTTCTGGAGGGGGTCCTGCTGAGGTTCCTGCTATTGGCTTGGCGTCTCCTACAAGTCAGCCGACAGTGCAGCCCCTCCTGGGAGGTCCACATGCTTCCAGTGTCCTCTGAGGGCTCCCTTCTGCGGGGAGATGTTTCCCTGGAACCAAGCGTAGAGTTTCTGCTCTTCATCTGCGTTTTGATTTTAAAAGGGAATTCTCTTGCTTTCCACCCATGTGGTTTTTTTTTTTAAATCTTAGGGGTAATCGTCCTGAGCATGGTTTCCTTTCTCTCTAGACAAGGCGCCTCTGTCCAAGAGCCTCCTGCTGGTTCCCAGCGCCCTGTCCCTCCTGCTGGCCCTCCTGCTGCCCCACTGTCAGAAGTTCTTCGTGTATGACCTCCAGGCCGTCAAGAACGACTTGCAGGTGAGTGCGGCTCCCCTGGCCTCCGGGATTTGCCTTTTCCCCTGCTATTTCTTAGTTCCCCAAGGTCCCAAAATTGTTAACAAATACTATTCGTTAATGTTTCCTTCACAAGTACATTTTCTAGTTGTATTTATTGATGTCTTCAGCGAACCAGATGATAATGAAGAAACTGCAGTATTTCTTTTCACCAGATACATCTATGTATTTATTTTATTTTATTTTTTGAGACAGGGTCTCACTCTGCAGTTCAAGCTGGCCTTGAGCTCACTTTGTAGCCCAAGCTGGCTTTCAACTCTCAATGATCCTTGTGCCACAGCCTCCTGTATGCTGGGATTATAGGCGTACGCCACGATGCCTGGCTGGATATGTCTATTTCAATTTCACTTTTTACTTATGGAAATGCATTTATACTTTTAAAGGAAGTTTTGAAACAATGTTAAATCTTTTTTTGAAGATCAGTCTGCATACTTAACCCTTCAAGAACTTGGTTCAGTTTGAATATTTGATTAGGTCGTCTAAGCTCTTTCTGCTGAAACACAATGTGAATTTATGATTATTTTTATATGGTAGTTAAACCAAATAGGAAATTATTCTTGAGTGTTTGCTTTGGAGAAGAACAGAACTCGATAGCTCCCAAGACTGATGGACAGGGGACCTCTGGCGGGGGTGGGGGAGACTGATAGACTGAACTATCAAAAATGGCAGTGTTGGGGTCTCGTCTATGAGTTGGTTAGTAAAAGTTATGCTGTATGACATAGCACTCTTTTCTTTATTAAATACTCTAAATGTCCATTCCCAGCATAGAATGCAGTTCTTGAACACTGACACCTTTTCTTCATAGAGGTGTAATTAGTATCATTGTTCAAACTGATGTCACTAAGACCCCATGGAGGTCTTTCAGCTATTATCTATATTTTCACTCTCAGAATACAGAATAGCTTCTAGATTGTGTTAGTTTGTATAATACAGTGGTTCTCAACACTGGCTGCATAGTGTAATCACTTAGAGAAGCATTAAAAAAATGCATACACATACACTTTTTTGGGACGGGGGTTGTGTGTTCTTCTTTGTCTTTTTGAGACAGGGTCTCGCTATGCAGTTCAGGCTGGCCCTGAGCTCACATTGTAGCCCAGACTGGTCTCGAACTTGCAGTGATCCTCCTGCCTCAGCCTATGGAGTGCTAGGATTACAGGCGTGTGCCACCACACCTGGGACATACACATTTAAAACCCAGAACAATGTCACCCTACTCCAGCTGAGTCAAAGAGGCTGGCAGTGGAGCTTGGGCACTCCAGTACTTTTTAAAATGATCCTAAAAAAAAGAGATCCTCCTAGAATTCCAGTGTGAGGCCACTTGGAGCCCCGAGAAGCTCTGCTGTGAGAGAATATGAGGGCCTTCTGGCCCCAGATAGGGGCCTTCCTGATTTCTAGGGTTAATTTGGTTTATCTGGCTGAGCACTACTCCATTGGCATCTGTGCTTTAAAGGTGTCAGTCAGTGTCCCCACACATAGGTGAGGACACACTATTGTAAGACACAAGCGTGCACTAGATCTTGGGTGATGGTAAAGGGAGTCAGCGCGTGTCACAGGCCTGAGAGCTTGGGGATGTGAGTTTTCAGTTGGGTCTGGAATGGATGACTCAGTCAGCAGCACAGGGAGAAGGGTGTTGGGCTTCCGGAAGTCACGTGCACTCTGGACCTCGAGTACCATGGACGGGCATGGCCGAGACTAATCGGGCTTGGATCAGATGAGTTGATAATGACTTTATTTTGTGGGTTCTGATTCTCCCAGATTTTGCTGTGAAGGCAGAGGTCCTGTCTTCAGTTTTCCTTAGGTATTTGTTGACTCTGAGCCAGTTACCTGCATGATTGTATGTCACAGTTTACTCATACCCCAGGTGTCAAGTGTTTGTGTTTGTAAGTATGATTCCAAAACATCAATTATTGAACACTACAGCTATCAGTTTTAAAAGTCACTAACCCAAAGAACTTACCTGCCCATGATGGTTGTTCCTGCCTGATCACGGGGCCTTTTCCCCATGAATCCAGTTGTGGCCTCACCTTGGGCCTGCAGGCAGCTAGTCCAGTTCAGCAAGGTGGGCCGGTGGAATGAGCACTCGAGTCATCCCCAAGCCAGCCCAGCGCTGTGAGTGCATTGAGGCGGACCCTCCCGGGTGTCCTGCGCGGAGCAGAGACGATCCGCACTCTTTCGACAGTGCGGGGTCAGTTTTCTCCTCTATTATTTCTTCATTTGGCAAGAGAAGAGGCTGTGTCACTTTAGAAAGTGAAGTACTTTCTCTTTGCCTCCCTTCCTTGATCTTAAGATAGCAATAGTACTACCAGCATTCATAAGAGCGAGTTTCATGATAGCTAAGGGTGGAAACAAGCCAGTGTCCATCAGCAGGGAAATGAATAAATAAAGTGCGGTAAGTACAGACCATGGAATTTATTCAGCAATGAAAGAGAGCAAGATTCTGATATATGCTTCAGCGTGAACCTTGAAAGCATTATATACAGTGAAATAAATAAGCTAGACGCAAAAAGACAAATATTGTTGGATGCCACTAGAGCAGGCAGATTCATAGAGACAGAAAGAACAGAGGTGATCAGAGGCTGCAGGGGGAGAATGGGGTGTTAGTGAGAAAGGGGTGCAGGATTTCTATCTAGGATGTTAAAAATGCCCTGGAGATGTAGAATGGTGGTGGCCGAACACGTGAATGCTCTTAATGCCGCTAACTTGGACACTGGGAAACAATCAAAATGATAAATTATATCTTCCGTTTTACCATGATAAAAATTCAAAGGAGATATAAAGTTGATTTGCTTTGCCCACATCGCAAGGTAATTGTGAAAGGGAAGTAAGATCAGAATGTTCTGCTGGGCTCCTGGGATTATCTATAAAAATTAGGAAATTAAATAGTAGGCCTTCAGGTAGCTCTTTGTTTGTGTATTACCCTTATGTGTTTTTCATCTAAAAAGAAGTTTATTTTTTAAAAACTGATGTTTCCAAATGTAGTATTACGTAGTAGCAGTGCTCATAAATTACCTTGTAGTTAGGTGCTATGAAGTAGTTTGGTGACTAAAATTCTCAGAAATACATGTTTTTGAGTTCATGCCTAAGTTGTTTTTCATTTGCAGCTTTGTTTGATTTAGTGGCGTAAAGGGGAACATTTAGTAGCTTCTCATTTTAGCTGATATATATAATTTTTTTTATCTTACAGTTAAAAACAAAGTCTTTTTTTTGGTACCAGGAATTCAGCTCAGGACCTTGTGCTTGCCAGGCAGGCGCTGTGCTGCTGAGCTGTATTCCCAGCCCCAGTTAAAAAATTTTTAACAGAAATTTTCTTCTAAGAAGCAAAGAAATTCTACCTTTTGTTCTGTTGTCAGGAGGAATTTTTAGTATGCGAGACTTAAACTTATTTCTTAGAGTTACACAAACTTGGTTTTCCTTTTGTGTATGTATCATGATTTTGTTTAGAATATACAAATTACGAGGTAAACAGCATATTTAGTAAGGCATAGAACTGAACAAATGTTTACTTTTATTCATTGTTCATTTTTCAATCCCTGTCTAGATTTGGAGGTTGATATGTGGAAGACTGATTTGCCTTGATTTGAAAGATACTTTCTGCAGTAGTCTGCTTATTTATAATTTTAGGATATTTGAAAGAAGATATGGGAGCAGAAAATTTGCAGTAAGTTTTTGATATATTTTGCCTTTGCTATTTAGGTTATAGAGAACATTTTTTGCTTTCCTCCTCTATTTTAAAATGGGTTTTATTTACTTAAACTTAGTTTATTATTTATAATTATCTATTTAATTACCTCATCCTATATCTGATTGGAGCATGGACGTTAACCAAAGAAAAATTTAAAATTTAAGGCAAAAGCATAATAAAATAACATGATGATAATGCTAATGAGAATAGATAGTTTTAGTTGTGAGCAGGTAATAAAATTTTTACTAGGATTTTGAGTTTAATAAAATTCTAGTAACTGTATTTTGCTTAATGGTTTATATATTACTTGTTAAAAATATATCTTACTATACGCATCATTTCTTCAATATATTTCAAAAATATAGAAGTTAATGCATTTGAATAGTGTGGTTTTATTCCCCAATTTTGAAAAGTCTCTTCTAATAAAAACAAATGATTAAAGTACACATACACACATCCCCAAGCTGGTTCTAATTAAGTAAATGTTTATTTTGGGCAACTCATTTCTTTCATGTTTTTCCTGTCTTATTTTTTAGTCCTTTTTGCTGGGTTCCTGGGTTTTGTCAGCTTTATTTGACTTCATCCTTGTTGAAGCCATGCAGTATTCATTTGGCATTGCTGCTGCTAGTAATTTGCCTTCTGGATTGTAAGTAGCTTTTAAAGATTGGCTTAACCTGGAACTCTTAAATATAATTTCAAGCGTTATTGTTGATGCAAGTCAGTAAAAGAATATTTTAAAGTTTTAGATGTAGTAAAAAAAATGTATCCTTACATACTCATTATGTTCTCGAAGCAGTCGATTTACATTAACACTTCTTTGAGCTCTTAAATTCTGTTTTAGAGAATTTTCAATAGATTTGCCATTTAGATCCAAAAGATGGACTGTTTGTGTATTTTTATAGTGATATTTTGCATTTGTAATTTTATCAACTAATTTAACACAAAATAAAACATTTAATTAGATTAAGAAGTAAACTAAATTGGTATAAAAAGTCTATAAGGAATTTTTTTTAAAGCTTATGTGGTTTATATATCTCAAAGGTAAAATGAAATAATTATATAGGTTACAGCTTTGTACACAACTTGTAGTGACCAACCAAACTCAGTGTGTGTATACTTCCATACTGTGTTGATATTCTTTAAAAACAGAGAGCTAGGCATGGTGGCATATGCCTGTAATCCCAGTACCCAGGAGGCTGAGGCAGGAGGATTGCTATGAGTTTGAGGCAAGCCTGGGCTACATAATGAGTTCAAGGCCGCCCTGAACTACATAGCAAGAACCGGTCTCAAGTGACTAAAGAACAAAACAAACCAAAAAATCCCTCCAAAAACCAAAACTATGTGTTAGTGTGGCCTTAAGGCATCTCTGAATGAGCTATGTGAGGCTATGTTTGGGAGTGAGATAGTATGAAATACAGATACTGGATATTTAAAATTTGTGTGTACTAACTTTAGCCTTGTTTTAATTGTAAATATCTCATTCGGAGAATTGTTAGGCTTTTGTATGTATGTATCTCAATTCAAATTCACTTGGGATTCCTGTTTTAAACATGTAGTACTCTAACAGGTTTTAGTTATATCGTTAGTATTTACAGTGTAGTTTTCCTTCATGGGATTTTTGACTTATAGTTGGTGTAAAGATCTATGGATGTTGACTTTTAGCTATTTTAGTATGTGCTTTTACATCATATTTTAGTGGAGGCAGATAAAGTTCTATAATTATAATTACTGTGTGAGTTTGTTTCGCTGAGTTTTCGGGTAAGGTACCAGCTGAGAATTTAAGTTGACTGTCCTGATTTTGTAAACACACTGCAGTCAGCAGGAACGAGTCATGTTAATTCAAGAAAGAAGCAGCATTGCTAAATCGTCTGTTTCTCCTGAACTGTGTTTTTATCCAAGTCAGTTCATTTTGGCTTTCTCTAAAGCCTGCTGCGTTTTGGAAGAATGTGTGTGTGCCATGTATGTTTGCACTGCAGAACACTGAATGTGTGGGGTGATAACATAGCTTGTCTTATTTATATTGACTTATTTATATTGATGGTGCTTTTTGTCTCCTGCACTTAGATGACAGCAGAACCTTTTATTCATTTATTTCATTATGAAGTCCAGTTAACTGGTACATGAAAAAAGATTTAATTTAGTTTTGAATTTGGTGGGAATTTTTTTACTTATTCTTGAGAGAGAAATATTTAAATCTCAGTTTGTAGCACGTGTTGCGAATTTGCATAAACTTCAAAGTTATAGTGTCCCCTTGGAAAAACAGTATGAATGTTCATTCAACCATGTCTGAATGAGAAGATATTTCTCTTTCTGTTCAAGTCATAAAATATCTTCATATTTATTTTAGAATTTTGGCACTTCTGCAAGCATAGACTTTTTGAAACATAAGTTCTTACTTCAGTAGATAGACTTTGAGCTTTGTAAGTATAGCTTTTATTGATGATAGCTTTAATGACTTATTCTTTCTTAAAGTGGAAATTATTCTGTCCCAAAGTGCTTTACACTTTGCATTTTTCTTTTC